AAATAATAAGCCGAGAGTAGAAGTGTCTTTTAAGTAATGAATAATGCATCGAATAACAACTATATGAAGATGGCAAGGGGAATGCATAAATTGGCTCACCTACTAAACTACAAATGAAATATTAAGGCATGTAATAATAAGATAATTAAGACTACCCACTAGCTAACACTATAATAAAGGATCAGACAAAATGTATCCCTCATCATGATAATATTTGACATTAACCTCGAGAGGAGTATTATCTAGAGTGGCTAAAGTAAGACTGGCCAAAAAAATCAAGTTGTTTATATACTTGTGCTGGTGAAGAAAGATACCTATGGAATTAGCAAAAACCTCAAGGCCTAAGAAATAGTGAAGGTATCCAAGATCTTTCGTAAGAAAGAAAGGTTGAAGTTGCTACTTAAGACGTTGAATGGTGGCATGATTGAAACAATATCATTGAGCTAAATAAGAAAAAGAACAATTCTAGCATTCACATGATGAATGAACAAAGGAGAAGTCGTATCTACTTTGAATAAAAGAAAAACTAAGCAAAGTAGAGCAAAAATTTTCAAACAATGTCGGAGGAGCTTGTTGTAAGCATACAAGGAATGTTTATGCTTACACACACCATTAAAGGAAACAAACATGCTTGGAGGAGAAGTCATGTAAAATATATTCTACCAGTCTCCATGAAGAAAGGCGTTCTTCGCATCCATTTGAGTCAATGACCAAACCTAAAGCAATAAAAAGAATGTTTTGAATAGACGTCATTTTTTCTACATGTGCAAATGTCTCATCAAATCTAACCTATAGTGTTGTTTGTTACCTAATGCAACCATTTGAGCCGTGTAACAATTATGAGTGCCATAAAAATTCAACTTCACCAAATAAACCCATTTGCAACCAATGGGTTAACACTAGGGGGTTGAAGAACAATGTCCTAAGTGAAATTGTCTTGGAGAATAGTAAACTCTTTGTTAGGGATGACAAATAAACTCGTATTCTAAGTAATGCCTAAAATCACTTCGACTTTGATGAGGAATACCTGATTTGACCGAGCATAGGTATGGGTACATGTAATACTCAATTTATTAAATTGAGTACGGGGACGAGGATGGGTATATACTTACCCGCCACGTCCCCATCCCTTATCTCTTGTTTTAAATTTTTAGAAACTTAATTTATTTTTTTAGAACTTACTTGAGATTTATGTAATTATTATTCTATTTTAAGTTTATGTTAAATGAAACTTAATTGATATAATTGTGTAATTGCTACTCTATGTTAAAATTCCTATTTTTTTAATATTTTCTTTTAAAAAATTTAATTAATTTTTTTACGGATACAAATATTCTTGATACCTTATGAGAATGAGGATGGAGACATAAATTTCATACCTGTCAAGTATGGGAATAGGGATGAGAATGATAACATTGAAACATCCACATGCCTTACCCCATTGTCATTCCTATTTCTTGTTCATTTCCTTGACCCAAAGAATATCTTTAAATAATGATACCATTTGAAAGGACCGAGATTGATTCAAATAATCTCACTTCATAGAGCATTTGATTCAAATGAAGAAAAAAAAGGATTTTGTAGTCAATGTAAATTAGGTTAATCAAAATTTGAAATCCAATGAAGTTTACCTACCTTCTCCAATCCATTTTCACTTTTGACAGAAAAGAAAATCACACCTAGAAAAAGCTGAATTTAAGAAACTAATAAACCTTATACAAAATCAATAGCAAATAGATATAAAATGCAGAGTAAATAGTGCATTTACAAAGTATGAAAGATTTTTAATCTAATATTCAATCATAAATTGTTTTGTTAACTTCTACAATAATCATTAAAAAAATTATACCAACAATAATTTTTAATTATTTGATAGTATAAACTACTTTTTACATTAATAATACATAAATTAAACTTTAAACACAAAAGTTTCATTACAAATAATACAAAGATTGTCGAAGGTGTAAACTTGTTTACACTAATCATACATTTAAGGGGGGAAAAAAGCCATGATTAGTAAGCACAAACATAAACGCACAATAGACGATCACGAGTCCCACTTTTATTACCACTGTTACTAGTTTTGTTATTATTAATAATAATACAAAATGGACATTCACAAAAGTTAGCTTTCCCATGTCCCCCATTATAGTCGGTGTAAGCTAAGCACACGAACAATGTGACCATTAACAATTTAAAAATGACAGAATCAAGAGCAAAATAATGAAGAAAAAAATATGCTTAATATAATATAATACATCTGTAATGATAACAAGATTCAAGAGAATGTGAATTATTCATACCCAAAAATAGATGTGTGAGATGCACACTACATTGACCCAACTTGTCTCCACGAGTAGCCAAGAAACGGCCAAAAATGAGAAATAAATAACCCATGAAAATAAAAAGTTACACATTGTGAATGAATGAACAAAATATAGTGGGGATAGAAATTTCAAAATTCCATTATTTATAGACAGTGACCTTGTTAGTAATAATTCAGGTGAACCATGCAAGTATTTTTCTCTATTAAAGCACAAGTTTAACTTACACACTTAACACCAACAAGCACATTAAAAATTAAACATGAGTTTCTCGACAGAGAGAAAGCCACATGCTGTGTTGACACCATTTCCATTACAAGGTCATATCAATCCACTGTTAAGGCTAGAAAAGCTTCTTCACCAAGAGGCTTTCACATAACCTTTGTCAACACTGAATACAATCACAAGCGATTGCTCAAATCAAGGGGTCCCAATTCCCTTGTTGGCCTTGTATATTTTTGCTTTGATAGCATCCCTGATGGCCTTCCCCACAATGATGACAATCTTGATGTTACTCAACATGTAGTCTCTATTTGTGAATCAATTAGAGAGAAGTTCCTCCTTCCATTTCGCGATCTTCTTGCTAGACTAAACCATTCTGCCACCGCTGGACTTGTCCCACCAGTTACTTGCCTGATTTCAGATTGTGCCATGACCTTTACCATACAGGCTGCGAAAGAACTTGCACTCCCTATCCTTCTCTTTCATCCAGCCAGTGCGAGTACATTATTGTCTGGTTTGCACTTTAGTACCCTGTTAAATAAAGGTCTCATACCACTCAAAGGTATATAGATTTAACCTCTTTCTTTCTCCATAGATTTTAATAAGAACTTGTACACAGGATTTTAAAATAACCTTTGACTATGATTTTGGCCATAACATAGACGTTTTATGACTATCCATGATTACAATTGTAGACACATCCAACCACATTTATCCATAATTTCACACAATATCAAAGATTACATAAAACTACAACTGCAATTTAAAAACGTTTATACATGAGCAATTTTAGCATAAGACATGAGTATATACCCATTAGCTATGCTTAATAAAAATAAAAAACTTGATACATAATTAAAATAAAAAGTAAGAACCTTATTAAAGTTATTTTAATGTTGTCTTAAATGTTTGATCGGTTAACACCTTAAATACAGCTCAGTGATTAGTTGTGGCTGATGAACACATGCTAATGGCTTTTCAAATTATGAATGCAGATGAGAACTACCTAACAGATGGGTATTTGGACACAAAAGTAGACTTGATTCCAGGTATGAAAAGCTTCTGACTAAAGGACATGCCTGCCTTTATAAGGACAAAAGATCCAAATGACTTTATGGTAAAATATCTCATTGAAACGGTAGAAAAAATTCAGAGAGCTTCTGCTGTTGTTTTTAATACTTTTAATGAGCTAGAGTATGATGTAATGAATGTTCTCTGCTCTATGCTCCCTCATCTTTACCCCATTGGCCTTTTCCCTTCATTTTTAAATCAAAGTTCACAGAACCACTTGGCATCTTTAGGTTCCAATATTTGGAAGGAAGATACTGAGTGTCTTGAATGGCTTGAATAAGGAAGCCGAGTCTGTTATTTATGTGAATTTTGGTAGCATGATGGTTATGTCTACAAAGCAACTTTTAGAGTTTGCTTGGGGTTTGGCCAACAGCAAGAGACCCTTTTTGTGGATCATTAGGCCTGATCTTGTCATTGGTGGCTCCGTGTGATTTTACCATCTGAGTTTGTAAATGAAACTTCAAATAGAGCCTAATAGCAAGCTGGTGTCCACAAGAGAAAATACTAAACCACCCTTCAGTTGGTGAATTCTTGACACATTGTGGATGGAACTCAATAATTAAAAGCATCTGTGCAGAAGTGTTAATGTTGTGTTGGCCTATAGCTGCTGATCAACCAACAAACTGTAGATATATTTGCAATGAATGGGACATTGGGGTTGAAATTGATACCAATGTGAAGAGAGAAGAGGTAGAAAAACAGGTTAATGAATTGATGGTGGGAGACAAAGCAAAAAGGATGAGGCAAAAGGTCATGGAGTTGAAGAAGAAGGCAGAGGAGAACATCAAGGTCCGTGGTTATTCATACATGAACTTGGACAAAGTGATTAATGAAGTGATGTATAAACAAGTTTAGACTGAAGAGCTTTAGTTTTCTTCAATGTAGTACTATGATAATTCAGTAATCTTCTCTTAATGTTGTTGCATTGTGAAGCAAAAACATGCATTTTTTCAACTAAGTAGTTAAGGTAGTATACACACCTTAATTATGAGCGTAATTCATTCAATAAAAAAATAGACTCTATAAAATAAATAACCCCTACTATCACTCATCTATGTCCAAGGATTACTGTAGAATGAATACCATAATATATCACTTTTTATGTCCAAGTTGAGAGAAATAAACTCCCAAGCAATTCTAAGTAATGCTTTGTGAGAAAAGAGAGAAGCAAAAAGAGAAAAGAGAGTAACAGATTTTGTAACTAAATTTGTATTATGTGAATTGTGTATTTATAGTATCTAGAACACTATATATATAATACATGTTGAGTATTCACTACTTAACTAAACTTTAGTCAGTTTAGTAAACCAGAGTTAGCAACCTAGAGTCAGTTTAATAACTACTCTTTACAATACATTCACACATTCCCCCCCCCCCACAAACTTAAGTTGGGTGAGAAGCAAAAGGAAGCTCAACAACTTTAAGTTTGTCTCTCAAAAATAAAAATATGGTAGAAGAGAGAGGCTTGGTGAGAGCATCAGCCCATTGATCTTGACCAAGGATGTGTTGAATAGTGAGTGGATTGGCAAGAACTTTTTCTCTCACAAAGAAAAGATTAATCTCCATATGCTTTGTTCTTGAATGTAGAACCGGATTGTGAGCAAGTGACACTGTGTTTTGGTTATTACAGTAAATTGTAGGAGTGGAAAAGGGAACCCTTAATTCATGAAGTAAAGTTTGAATCCATAGAACTTCAGAAGTAGCTTGAGCCAAGCTTCTGTACTCAGCCTCTGTACTTGATCTAGCCACAACAGGGTGTTTCCTAGACCACCATGAAATCAGATTAGGATCAAGAAAAATAGCTTCCCCAGATGTTGATCTTCTGTCATCAGGGTCAACTGCCCAATCAACATCACAATATGCATAAAGTGAAAGGGGTTGATGAACACGAGCTGGTTGAAGATGTAGACCATAGAACATTGTACCCTTAAGATACCTTAAAATTCTCTTGACTGCATTCCAGTGACTTTCAAGAGGATGAGCCATAAATTGAAAAACTTTGTTGACAGCAAAACTAAGCTCAGGTCTGGTTATGGTTGCATATTGAAGTGCTCCAACAACTAATCTGTAGAATGTAGAATTAGCTAGAGTGTTTGAACCATGTTTGGATAACTTGCAAGATGACACCATAGGAGATGAAATAGCATTGGCTTCAAGCATATTAGTTCTTTGAAGCAGATCTCTGATGTATTTACTTTGTGTGAGGAGAACAGATCCATTCTATAAGTGTCTGACTTCTATTCCCAAGAAGTAGTCCAGCTTGCCAAGTTGTTTGAGGGAAAAAATAGAATTAAGCTGATTTATAAGTTGCTGAGTAAACTGAAAAGAATTCCCTATAATTATAATGTCATCAACATATACAATAAGATAGACAATATTAGATTGCCTGTGATAGGTAAACAGAGAAGGATCACACTTGCTGGCCTTAAATCCAAACTGTAGTAAAGTATATTGTAGTCGCTCAAACCATTGACGTGGAACTTGTTTTAGACCATATAGTGCCTTGTTTAATTTGCAAACAAGAGTAGAATCATGAACTTCAAATCCAGGAGGCTGTTGCATATAAACAGTTTCATTTAGTGAGCCATTTAAAAAAGCATTGTTTACATCTAATTGATGAATATCCCAATGATTTGAGATAGCTAGAGTGAGGATCAATCTGATGGTAACAGGTTTGATGACTGGTGAAAAAGTCTCATTAAAATCAAAACCTGGTTGCTGAAGAAAGCCCTTAGCCACTAATATGGCTTTATATTTGTTTACAGACCCATCAAAATTTTCTTTAATTCTGAAAACCCACTTGCAGCCAATGGCATTTCTATTAGGAGGTAACTGTACAAGAGTCCACGTATTATTTTTAAGAAGAGCAGAATATTCCTGTTTCATGGCTTCAAGCCATTTAGGATCCTTTAAGGCTTGCTTAACATTCTTTGGTTCAAACTAAGCAAGAAGAACAGAGGGATATTTTGGTTTATGAATGCCAGATTTAGATCTAGTTTGCTTAGGGTGAACATTCTGTGACTGGACAAGAGAAGTAGACTATGGATCAGTGTTGGACAGAGATGAAGTTGAGTTGGTAGACAAAGTGCTAGGTGTAGGACAAATAGGATCAGTGGAGGGAGTAGAATTGTGTACAGTGAGTTGTGGAGATAGAGGTTGAATGATTGGAATGGAAGTGGATACCTCAGTTTGAGAGCTAGATAATGTATGTGATGATTGAGTTAGTGATGAGGAAACAACTCATGATAAGGAAAACGATACTCATTGAATACAACATCTTTGGAGATAAAAATTTTTCCTATAGGAGAAAGACATTTATATCCTTTATGAGAAGTAGAGTACCCTAAGAATACACACTCATGAGATCTAAAATCCAACTTGTGTTTATTGTATGGTCTCAGAAGAGGAAAACATGCACATCCAAAGGTTTTAAGAAAGGTATAGTCTGGAGACTGTTTAAACAAAATAGTATATGGAACAACATATTTGAGTGAGGCAGTTGGTAATCTATTGATAAGATAAACAGCAGTACAAAATGTTGAATCCCAAAATTTTAAAGGAAGAGACGCATGGCTAAGAGTTAATCCAAGTTCTACTATATGTCTATGCTTTCTTTCAATTACTCCATTTTGATGAGGAGTGTGAGGACATATGACTCTATGATTAACACCCAAGTCTTTTAAGTATTTAGGCAAAGGTATAATAAATTCACCACCCCAATCAGTTTGAAGACTTTTAAGAGAAGTATTAAATTGTAACTCAACCATCATTTTGAATTGCTTAAACACAGTGAGAGTATCAAATTTGTTTTGCAGTAGATAGATCCATGTAAAACATGGATAAGCATTAACAAAGCTTAAGTAATATTTGTAATTATTCGAGGATTGTATGGGGGCTGGTCCCCATAAATCACTGTACACTAATTCTAAGGGATTTTTATACACTAAATCAGACAAATTGGAAGGCAAACGATGTGCTTTTCCCATATAACAAGCATTACAAAAGAAACCATCAATTTTATTCACAACAGGAATATTACATTGTTGAGAAACAAGCTTTTGAACATGAAATTTTGGATTACCTAATCTAGCATGCCATAAGGTATGGGAGCTAGACTTGACATTATTCAATACATCAACATCAGAAACTACAGTATTGGAATTATTAGAGACTATGAATGGTGAGGAGTTGCTTGGAGCAACTTGAAGCTAAAGATTAGGAAAGCAGTATAAACCATTAGACCTCACATTTCCTTGCACCAACACTTCATTGGTGACCTGAGATTTAACCAAGCAATAAGTGGGATGAAATTCAAAATATACAGAATTATCTTTAGCAAACTTACTAACACTGATAAGATTTTTTGTAATATGAGGAACATGTAAAAGATTATGTAGAGCTAGAGACATTTTAGGATTATTTTGAAAGGTAAAATAGGATGAACCAGAAGAATGAATAGGCAAACCTTGACTGGTAATGAATATCTAATCTGGTCCTTCAAAAGGACTCATTTGTTGAATATTCTATTGTTCTCCTGTCACATGAAACGAAGCACCGAAATCAGGAAACCAATTTGTAGGATTGCTAGTCAAGCTTGTGTTGGTCACCATAACACTAGGCTATTGAGAAGTAGCAGGTTTCATGTTTCAATTCACTTGATTGTTGAAGTTGGGAACCATAGAGTTATGTTGTTGCTGATTAAACTAATTCTGAAATCCATCGGTCTGATTGTTGAATGAAAAACCAGAGTTTTGAAAACTAGGGTTCTGAGAATAGATTCCTTGAAAATTGTAAGCCATCAAAGGTTGATAGTTTTAATCAAATCGATGATAACAATATGCAACAATGTGACCAATTTTATGACAAACTTGACACTAAACACCTGAAAACCTTCCACTGCGACCACGTCCACGTCGACCTCCGCGGCCGCGATAGGTGTTTCTTCCAGCATTCATTTCCATATCAACATCTTGTGAAAACTAATTAGATTGATTTGTAGACTCAATTTTCAATTGCAGACCAGAGTTAGGGTTTGTTATTGGAGCCTATGTTAAATTTATTAACGCTGATTCTGATAGAAGTCTCTTCTTGTATTTTTGAAGTCGCATCTAGTGTGCTAGCAAAAGAGCTTCAACTTCTTCAATTGAAGGAGTTTCAAATTTACTTTCAACGACAGAAATCACAGAGTTGTAGTCTTGTGAGATACCTTCAAGAATTACATCAACATGTTCTTGAAAGGAAACTGATTCTCCAATAAATGCTAGCACATCAACAAGAGCTTTGATGCGAAGAAGAAATTCTTCCATAGGTTTTTCTGCAAGAGAAGTTGATCGGAGTTTGGTTCATAACTGTTGAGCTCTTGCTCGAGTTTGTTTATGAAAATAATCATGAATCTTGTCCCAAACTTGATAGGAGTGATTGCTTCCTAAAACGCGAGACAAAATCATAGGGGAAAGTGAAAATTGAAGCCACGCCATAAGCATTTGATCTTGCTGCTCCCAGGCGATGTATTCAGGATTGAGCTTTCCTGCATCTCGATTTGTTTCCGTTCAAGAATCTGAGTGGAATTTTTGGAGAAACAACAAAGTGTTGGAGTTGATGAGCTTTGATGAATGGTTCGACTTGTTGACGCCATATGAGGAAGTTTGTCTCATCTAACTTCGACAAAATTGTGTGTGCAAACGTAATTAGGGCAGACGAAGGTTACAGAGAAGACACTTCAGCCATTGATGATCGTCAAGCTCTTGATACCATGTGAGAAAAGAGAGAAGCAAAAAGAGAGAAGAGAGTAATAGATTTTGTAATTGAATTTGTATTATGTGAATTGTGTATTTACAGTATGTAGAACACTATATATATAATACATGCTGAGTAATCACTACTTAACTAAACTTTAGTCAGTTTAGTAAACCAGAGTTAACAACCCAAAATCAGTTTAATAACTTCTCTTTACAATACATTCACATGCTTTGACTCTCCCGAAAAGCTAGTACTCAACTCATTTCCATCAATATTCTCCAAAAGTCTCAAAAAGAAAAGTTGTTCAACATGTTACTAAAGCCCAATGTTATTGCAACATAAAAGGCATAATTTTCTAAAATCCAAGAGTATTTCCAACAGATAATTTCAACATTTGAAGGACTAATTTCATTATAGAAAAGAGAATCAAATACGGAAGTTACAATCAATAATGAGTTAAGTTTCGTATCGATGAAGTAATTCCAGGAATATCATCATATATATGATTAAGTCCTCCTCTTCAATGCGAGAAGTTGTTCTTAATCTCCTTCCTTTTTATTAAGCTTTCAACTCCAAAATCCAATTGCTCTGGGTATGCGACTCTTTATCACAGATTTGAGTAATGGATTCCAATGTAAAAATTTCATTACTACTACTGACCAGCTTCAACTCCAACCATGTCAGCATAGCATTCAATGTTGTTTACATAGTGAGATCCTCCTAGTGAGACTTAAGGCTCGGGATACTTTTCCCAAACAATGTAAAGGAATTTTTTAGTTTTTTATTATCTCTCTAGCATTTATTATTTTTCATTCATTCAACCATATGTAAAAAGAAATACATTTTAACTCTACACAATTAGACACAATTATGGATAATGAAACTTCACTGCAAAGCAGCAATTGAATTGCACGAGCGTACACAAAAGAAGGAAACAACTATAGTCTCTATCACTATTAACTTCTGTATCATAATTTTATCATCCTTATCTTGTTGAATTTTGCATAAAATTTTGCCAACTAAATTTAAAACAATACATTATCTTGTTTTATTTTTTTTGAAGAAAATTTACCCACTCAATTCATTTTATTTACCTATTTGATAGTTCTACCCAGATATTATATTGACTACTTCTGCGAGAGCAGCTTTCCATTTGTTTCACCTCGGTTCTCCCTCATGATTTTCATATGATTGCTTATAGCTTCTAGTCTGCTTTATCACATAGGATGGATCTATGTTGTAGAACACTAGTATCACAATTTGTCCTTGCCTCCTTAGTAACTCAGCAAGATTCAAGAATGCAGGAATGACCTACACATTGTACAGTGTCCTTGGTCTTTGTTGCATTCTAAAATCTTGTTAAGTTCAACCAAGAACCACTTAGAGGAATCATAGTTCCATGAGAAGGTGATAATAGATACATGAGAATTTTCAATGGCTTCAATGAGTGCAGGTGACATTTCATCTTCCTTTTCAATTTGGTAGTCTATACAGGTTTCAACTTAGAGTTAAATTGGCTACTTCAGTGAGAACAACTTTCCATTTGGTGCACCCTGTTCTCCCTAATGTCTTGCAAAGGCTTGCTGGTGGTCCCTGTCTGCTTTCTTGCATGGGATAGACCTACGTTGCACAACACTGGTATCACAATCAGTCCTCGGTCTTTTTTCTGGTGAAGTAAGAAAAACAAAAAACCCAAGGACAGATGGTGATACCAGTGTTCTACAACATAGATCCATCCCATAATTTTGCAGAAAAACTATTTGATAGTGTCCTTAATTTTTCTTGTATTCCAGAATTGTGTTGAATTCAGCCAAACACCCTTTCAAATTGTACAATTCTCAATGGCTTTGATGAGTGGTGGCATTTCATCTCCCTTCTCAACTTGGTAGCTTATAATAGGTTTCAACTTTCTTTTGCATCAAAGCTTCATGAAGATGGCTTGTAAAGTTCCAGCAGCGATCACCTCAAAAGTCAAGAGAAAAGTCATAATTTTACACAGCATAGAAAGAGTTGGGAAGAAGCAATAGCACTGATCATTTTCTGCTCAGCCAGGAATTCCTTATGCTGCACCTGCAACAATCACAATGCTATATTTGAAGAAATGACAAAAACTTCGATGTTTCAATGCATTCTTGACACTTGTCCTTACTACTATTCATTGGAATTTACAAACTTGTCTAATATGGATTCAAACAGTTCAAAACTCCTACAATTTTCTCAACTTCCCAGTCACAAATGAAAATTGAAACTTCAAATGTAATCATAAAGCAAATAATAGGTTCATGTACTGCATTAGCATATACAAGTCAAAGTTGTTACTCGTATCCAACTAAATCCATTCCCCTTTGTAATATGTACTCGATGTACCGGATGCAATCATGAAACCACATCCATGCCTTTGTAAAGTCAAAAGACTTGAAACATAAACAAAGGAATAAGTCTCAACGTCTCATCCTGTCATCCATCTATCTAAGACAAGAGTACTGTTTCTTCATTTATCTTCAAAAATAACCAGTATCAAATAAAATGCAATAACAACATTGTGATCAACCCAAAGTCAACAAAACAATCCAAAACAATAGGACTCAAAGTAACTGCATAGAACTATAAACATATCATATCCTGTTCTTTTCCCTA